TGTCCCCCCCAATGTATATGGTGAATACGGCCCTGCCACATATTATATACAGACACATTATATATATATAATATATATAATATATATATATGTTGCAGAATTGTTAACATCGGGTCTGTCTAAAAAACTAAATTAGATAAAATCAGCCTTCTGGGAAATGTTCACAAACCAGATAGACCAGCCGTCATCAGAAGTTATTTGTCTCCTATCCTCTCTGCCAATGAGATTCTCAGCCAGAAGACCTACAAATGATACTCTTTTCAACCATTCTGTCCTCGGTAAGTGCCTCTTACCAAATGTGTTTATTCTAGAACCTGTACAAATATGATCAAACCAGAGAAACATAATTCTGGGGCATGGAGTGAGACAGGAGTCCTGTCTGAGACCAACACAGTTTCTTATTTACATCAAAAAACAATCCACAGTCCTACTTCTCCTTGAGATTAACATTAAGTTCCTGCTCAACGCCAATTAAATAGTTCCAAATGTCAACAGAAGAGGGTTTACAACGACGTCATGGTAATTCAGAGGAGAGAAAAGTCTCTATCAGGTGGTTCCAACCTGGCCATAAAACAAAGTGTTATAAGGCTTAGGGAGCTTTGAATGCAAATAAAAGTGATTTGGAAAAATATTTCATGAATATCGCTCAACAGCTACGATTCTCTTTCCAGGCCAATTTTGTTCCCTGTTTCAAAACAAGAATTTGAAAACCAAGTCTGAAACACCCTGAGTAATGCTTGCAGAACTATAGCTACCCATTAACAATTATCTTGCATGCAAAGCTCAACTGAGCAATCAGCAGTCTCCAAGTGCACCCCCCTCCCCCTTCTGGACCAGCTGATAATACGTTAAACACCTCAGTCAGAAGCCAGAGACACCGTCCTCCATCATACCAGACTAAGCTATTGACAGACGTTTAAGCTTTATTTCTTTTTTATCTTCCACTTGTTTTCTTAGTCGGCTTAAAAAAATGAATAATTACATAAATAAAGAATATTTTTAAGCACAACAATGCAGATATACACACCCAGTATAGCATTATGCCTGATATTGCTGTGATGTTCTTACTTTAAATACCTTTTAGTTATGCATTTGCTATAGCTATAATCCCCTACAAATGCAGTACATTATAAAATACAGAAACCTAGCAGCATTATTCGTCTATCTTCCTGTATGGCTGATATTGAGGAATACTACATATTTCTTACCATCTCCCTGCCGGTCCCAGTGGAAACATCGGAACATGTCAAAGTCAGCATGATCAATGTGAAATATGTGTGTTGAATAAGAAGCTAAAAGCAGCAGAGTGTGTGCCCCTCCTGCGAAGAAAGGGTTCCCCTCAGCCCCACCTACATGTCTATCTACAGATGACGTGTGTGAGTACACACAAATTTACACAGACATTTAATAACAATATTTGCTCTAATTATAGGTACATAATAAATTATGTCCATCCATTTATGTATATGACCTGTTTATGTACAAAACATGAAGTTTTAATAGTGCACATGCACAAACATGCACACAAACAGTTAGAGCATGACTTAACATATAGCAGCTTATCTTGGTCACCCCTACTACTGGCTTATCAGGGTCGCGCACACACAAACACACAGAAAAAACTGAGATGTTGGGGTTAGGGTTCATATTAAATTGAACCTCTTTTTTCATTTAAATTAATAGTATTGCTTTCAACAATCCTAACACAGTTATGTGTAATTTGTTGACATTATACATTTCATTAGAGTCAACATTTCAGCTTTTTCAGTGAACTGACAAACACACACATACACACACACACACTGGATTGTTAAGCATTGATATCATTTGGGATGGGATTAGCGCAACATTAAACACCTTCATATTTTAACTTTGTCATGTATCTATCCATCCATCCGTCCGTCCATTGATCCGTCCGTTCATCCATCCATCTTTTATGACTGTAACAGGGCACCGTATATCTCACCTGGAGCAGGCGCCCCATGAACTCCACAGAAACCTTCACTGCGTGTCCCCCTCCCGCTTTCCCGTCTTGCTGTGCTGATCCTATCAGATAAAGGCAAAAAGACATAACCCTGTATTGAGTGAAGGAGAATAAGCCGTACCCAGCATGCCGTTCTGCACTGTGGCAGATAATGCTTGAAGCAGAGTGTGTATCAGGGTACTTCTGTGTTTACTGTCAGTCACTGTGCTCAGGTATCACAACGTCTCTGTAGGACCAGATAGCTCTGGCTCTGTGCTTTAGTTTGTGTGTTCCAGTTGGGGATGTAGTTTGGGTTCTAGTCTGTTACAATTTGGTTGAATCTTGACATGTTGTCAGGCTGGTAGCAGAGTGAAGGGATTCTTCTCTTTGCTCAGTACCTGGCATTGCATTTTTTTTTTTGGCAATAGGAGTGGGGGTCACTGTTTCTTAGTTTGAAGCAGGTATTTAATTTGTCTTAGTTTGATTTTGATGTGTAATGAGATTTAGCCTTATTTAGTAGGCTTTAATTGTAGTTTTTTGTGCACCTACAAGATGTTTTGAAGCACTCTGAATCCATTATTTTTGTCCAATCTGATTGGAATTGGTTCTTTGGCAGATGTGAGTAATCTAAGCCAGGTTTTTATAAACATTTGACAGTAAATGTAACTTTTTGTTTCATAGAATGCCCTGCATGCTTTCCTTCTCATGTACATTTAATGATGGGTTAAATATTTCCCAGTTCCCAGTTTCCTCTGTTGTTTTTCTATTTTCTATGACTCAGAAAGTGTCTGTGGTGTCTTGTAAAAGTATCAGCAGCACAAAAGTGCCGGAAAGAGGACAGCAGCTGTAGACTTCCAGTAAAGTGCATTATTTGATCTTTATCTGAAGGCTGGTAAACGGCACTGTTTGGTCTATGCAGGCAGTGGTAAATCAATTCATGTTTTACCCTTAATAAAAGTTTATTTTGACCCTTTTTGGTTATGTCAGCAGGTTTGACTGAAACACAACATCCCTTCTTGTTATATCTAATTAATGACCATGGATGTGATTTAATATAATAAAGCTACAGATGCAGGAAGAAACACAGGTCTGACACTGAGAGGAGATACTCATACACATTCTCTCTCTCTATTAAACACACACAGCTTAAAGAGGCAGAGAGATGACTCAGCATAATCATGACCTCCACAGAATCCTCTCTCAGTGACGTGTGTGTGTGTGTGTGCGTGCGTGCGTGCGTGCGTGCGTGCGTGCGTGCGTGCGTTTGTGTGTGTGTGTGTGTGTGTCATTATGTCACTATAACAGTGTGCTCCAGAAGAGGGGGTGAGCTGTCTAAACTTGGTAAATGAACACCATGAGCTGAAATGATGCAGCAAACCATGGCCTCTGTAAAGGGTATTACGTGTAAACTTTAGGTTTAATCACGTGTATTATATTACATGTGCCTGGCTTAAATGAGAAGTACATACAAGAGTAAGTGGGTTTTATTTTGATTCTAAGATGTTCGAGGGCGGCACAATGTTGCGTTGACCAGCACAGCAACCCACCGTAGAATCCCCTGAAATCTTTGACTCTGACTTCTAACCAGTGATGTAAAGTAACTAAGTACATTTACTCAAGTACTGTACTTTAGTAAAATGTTGAGGTGATTGTACTTTACTTGAGTACTTTAATGTTTTGCTACTTTCCTTCTACTCCAACACATTTCAGAGGTAAATGGTGTACTTTTACTACACTTATTTGATCCCTTTAGTTACTTTACAGATGTGGATGAATGATGTGAAATATAATCAAGTGTTAAATCAGAATTTAGTTCCACCTGGAGTAAATTCACAAGCTACCCTGCAGTATACAAAGTCATTCAAACTAGCTGCACCTTTACCAGCTTTGAGAACACTTTCATGATCAATCATTATAAAACATATCATATATATTATTCTGAAATTGACCAATCTGCACAATGACTATGTTTACTTTTGGTACTTTAACCATAATACTTTTCTACTTTTACTTGAGTAGCATTTTGATTGCAGGACTTTTAGTTGTAACAGAGTATTCCCACACTCTGGTGCTTCTACTTTTACTTAATGACACAGTACTTCTTCCATCGCTGCTAGAGTTAAATGTACATTGTGAACTGACTACACTGAATCACCAGTGTTGAAGCAGTGGAAGTGACTGACTCACATTGTTGAACTTTTCTCTTAGACTTTAATTAAAATACCACGGAAATAACTAATCATGGTGTGAAAGCTCTCTAGTAAATGATTGACTTTTAGTATTGTATGAAGTGGGACAGCAAGAACAGAAATCCAGTATCCATGTATTATGTGAATATTGTGTCAGTGCAGGACAGCTCAGAGAGGTTCCCTTGGTTTGACCACTTCCTTTGGTTTTTCACCCTATGCTTTAACATCACCCACACTGTCAACTCCACCATATTAATCCTGACTTTCATCATCAACAGCAAGCTTCTACTTTAGGGAATCCATATGTGTGTCCAACTAACACTTTTGAAGGAAATCCAACTTTGCCTTTAAATATTTTTCTGAATCCTTCACTTCACCCTTTAGAAGAGTGAATGACCTCAGCTAACAGTATGTCAAATGAATTTGTTTTCCTAACTGTTTAGCACTGTGTGTTAATGGTCTGTATGAAGGTCTGACAAATCTGTCAAATAATTAAAAAGGTAGCAATACTAAAGTGTAGAAATACTTTGGAAGAAGTTAAAGTACTGCATTTACAATCTTACTTAACTGAAAGTACAAAAGTACGGCAATCAAAATGTAGTATACATTATAGTAAAATTACTTATTAAATTAAGCACTTAATAATACTTAATTAATAGGTATATTATTAAATTACTGGATATTTTCTTAACAAGTAGCTAGTAACTAATGCTGATAGAAAAGTGAAGTGGAGTAAAATGTATAAAATTGGCTTTCACCATTTAATGTAGAAGCATACAATGGAAATACTCAGCTGCTCAAGTACTTCAAAATTGTAATTAAATACAATAAATGTTAAGGTGCAACTATCATGCTGTTTTTAGGCAATAGCATAGGTCTCAGATATATAAAAAAACATAAAAAACATGTCTATGAAGTTTTTTGCTCAAAATACCAAACAGATCACCCATTCTAGCCATGCCTCATATCACCCTATTTCACTTCCTGTTTCAAAAGTGCTGATTTTGGTTATAAAGCTTTCATTTAGAAAAAATTTGATGAAAAAAGGAGGGGGCTGAGCTCATGCGGGACCCAGCAGCTACTGTCTAAACTAAATACTGCCATGATGAAACGCTATTTTAATGGATTATCAAGGATTCTTTCTGAAACAGTATGGAGCTCAAAGGCTTTTTCTCTTGCTGCTTATACCACAAGGTGGCGAGCCGTCAGGGCCCTCTAGGCCCTCTCTGATGGCCTAAGCCTAAGATATTCAAAAAAATAACATTTGAAAACAATATTTTTTTAGTTATATTTTTCATTAGTTTTACCAAAATAACTTGATTTAATTGTATTTAAAATAATATATCCAAAGAAATACATCCTTTGAATCTGCCTGTTCAGTTTCTGTTTGAATGTGAAGAGTTAAATGAAAGAAGCTTGTCTCTGCGAGTTATACGATACGATACGATACGATACGATAATACTTTATTGGTCAGATCAAGTCTGAAATTTGACTTGCGTCACAGCAGCTCCATGTCCAACATCAACAGACAAATATCCAGACACAATACATGAAACACAAACAACAAACATTTAACATAACAGCACAATCAGTGAGAGAAAACATGAGTTCGTACTTGGATGAATCTCTGACTAGGTTGTTGTTGATATCGTTTTTTTTGATGAACCACTTGACCTTGTGACTAAATAAATACTAGGATACCTTTGTGTCAATTACGTCCCCAGAAGTAAATTTAATTTATTTATTGACGAAATTGTAGTTAACGTTACAATGGTGTAAGTGTAGGAAACTTATACACCTCCGAACCTAACAAAACAAAACAAATGAACACACGAAGGACAGAAAGAGGTACTGACTAGTATATAGTATATAAGAAAAAAAAAAAAAAAACGGAACGTGTGTGAAGTTCCATCTGTCCCCTGTGTGAGTCTTGCGGACGTTCACCTTGTCGCTTGTAGAAAGTAAGAGGAGCCGACAATAAAGAGACGACCATTAGGACGGAAGTCCGAAGCAGACGACGAGATAGTAAATAAGGGTAGTCGGGATGTAAGAGCACAAGAAGACAAAAGGAAATTACTCGGTGTCTAACCGACTGAACGGACCTTCTTTCTACCCGACTAAATTTTCGACGCTCAATCCCCTCA